GTGAGATTTTTTTTATTTTGTGTGTGTGTGTGTTGTAATTACAGTGCCTGCTAACAATTTCATACTGCCACATTGCACATATGGCTTCCAAGCTAGCTTTATCTGAATCTTTGTGAATCTATTCTCCGTGCTATTAAACTGAGCACATTCCACATCGTTCAAAAGTAATTACACTTTTGTCTAGAGTGTAGGAAACTGCTCTCCCCAAACAATGAAATTCTCATTATTAGAGCTGGCACAATAACAGCACTGGTGTTCACAACACTGTGCATTGTACCATCACAATAACTTATCCTAAGCTTGATGCACAAAGGTACACTGGAAATTAAAATTTCTCTAAAACCACTGTGTTGGGTTTGGTTGTTTTTTTTTTTTAATAGGAATTCTTTAGCTCAGTATAATTAGAGTCCTATTTGACTTTTTAAAAAGCTATAGGCATTCAGATTTCCATTCTCTTTGCAACTTATGAATAGCAGCTAAGTGCTCTAGCCGCATGTTGTTCTGATCCAATGCTGTTCATGTGCTGACGACCCCAGACCAACAGCTGGTGAAGGCAGGCCAGGTATGTGATAAGAGGATTCAAATACAGCATTAAACAACCTTTTATTTTGGACTAGTGGAGGAAAAGCATGAAGTGATGTGTCAGTAAGCTCTTTAACCAGTAGTACTGTTATTCTTAATATGACCAAAATTTCTTAGTATTATTCCCAAGTTACACAAGAGTAACTTCATTCACCACAGAAATGCAACACTTTTTAGCATTAAGCAATAAAGCTACTTAACAGAGTACTGTAATATTTCCTATAAGCACTGCTGAAAATGAATTCTAAATCCCACTGAAAGTGCAGGACAAATGTGAACTAGCAGTTCAGTCATACAGTTTAGAAAAAATGAATAGCATCAAAATTACACCTTACCAGGTTGAACTTTTGGTCAGAACTTCCTTTTTTTAAAATAACCATAATAATAAAAAAATCTCGTCCAGCATTGATTGATATTCTATAGTTAAGAAGAATGGTTGAATTTGACCATAGTGCACCACTCCCATGGTATACTTTAATCAGTACTTTTAGACTTGTTATCTCTTATTTTCAGAAATCAGCACACAGATACCACTAGTGAGATCAGAAGTTTTGAGAGGTGGCAAAAGCAACATGGTAAGGCAGACAAATAGAAATAAATAAAATAAACCCTTGTAATGCAGAAGCACTAACAACTCTCTGTGCTATCCAAATACTGCAGCCTTAATAGGTTTCTTCAAAAGAGGTATTGACTGATACTATGATCCTCAAGTGTTTCCCCGCTAAGTTTCTGGCCTGCTATGAATGTCCTAAGGGGACTCTCAGATATATTCTAGGTCAAATGATTTGCATTTTCTACTGAGCCTTTGGTTTAAGTCTGATAAACTATTGTTTCTGATCAGTGAAAAAGCTTTCCTCCTTACAATAAGTATCTAGTTTCTGCTATCAAGAGGAAGAGAAAGGATAGAGTTGTCCTTGCTTTTCACAGAACCACAGAATAATTGAGGTTGGAAGGGACCTCTGGAGGTCATCTGGTCCAAGTCCCCTGTTCAAGCAGAGTCACCTAGAGCCCATTGCCCAGGACTGTGTCCAGACAGCTTTTAAATATCTCCAAGGAAGGAGACTCCACAACCTCCCTGGGCAACCTGTTCCTGTGCTCAGTCACCCTCACAGTAAAAAGCAGTTCCAGCACCCTCAGAAACACCCTGTTCATTTTGATGGGAAGATGGGTTTTGCTCCTTTTTGCCAATTTTGGTTAGGTTTGGAGACTTCTTACTAGGGATTTTGCCCTCCTTTTATAAAAATTTACCCAGCATTCTGAGTTGTGTCTCTAAGTTGTCAGTTGATACCACTTGGTAAATAAAATGCAACAGGGTAAATTTTCAAAAGTCTAAGTTTGGTAAACTGTTGACTTACCACTCTGGTGCAATCAACCCTTTACCTTAAGGCTTAAGATGTCCCAGCTGGCAGGACTTGTAAAGAGAAGCCCAGCTGGAAGTAACTTATGAAACAAGAGGGTCAATTAGCAGCTAGAAAAGTGAGGCCAATAAATTGATTCTCAAGGCTGAAATTGTTTTCCTAACTGTTTCTTCATGACCCAGTGGTGAGAGGCAGAACACGAGGAGGCAGGGATGGCTGTGGTGACAAGAGGAATTCAGCTATGCAACCTACTGATGAGACAAAGCTGTGTAATTCCATACCTTTTCCAGATCCCTTGGCTGCAGTTGTCTTCTGCTGATGTTCCCTAAGCCAAATGGGTGTTGGACATGTAGCTAACACAAAGATCTCTCTCGATCTACATCACATCTGTCTAAAAATCCCTTTGGAGAAGAGTCTTGGTAAACAACCACACGCAAAGCAGTATGGTTTAGAAGGGTGCAGCAGAGTGATGCGCTGCATGATTTCAGACTGGCTGTATGTCTGATCCTGGCTTATTGGACATTGGAGAGGTCTGCAAAGGTGTACCCTGCTAAGGACAGCATGTGGCTGCAAAACAAGAACTCCAGAGCCGCTTGCAGACTCAGTGAGCAGGTGTAGTAGTACAGCTGACAAGTTATTAAGAAGTGTGAAGCACACTGCTGGAGCTTTATCAATAAAAGTGTATTGGACCGCACTGTGTGGCGGCGCGTGCACATGTGCATACACCTGGATTTGCTTCCAAGAGACTACCAAATAGCACAGAATGTCAATTCAAACAGTATAAAAATGACCTCTGCAATACTAGCAAAGTGAATACCCTTTGCAAATGACTTTCATAACTGCTAATCACCCAAATGGAAGTCATCTCAAAGTTATCCAAGCACTAGGTTCAAGTTACCTCCTTCTTATAACTACATACCATAACAGCAGAGGGAGCAATTATGTATATTTTACTCATTTATACTGAGCACTTCCTTCTTTCTGGAGACACATAGACTACATCCTTTCTGACCTACCTAGATGATGATTTTTACAAGACACTCCTCACTAAAAGAGAAATATTACCAAAATGTCACATTCATACAAACTGGGAATTTCCTTTAATACATATGAGGACAAAACCACTCCCTACAAGCCCCCAAACATGCTTCAGATAAGTCTACAGCATCTCACTGCTACAGCCAAACTGTCGAAAACATGCAATAATCCAGTATCTTCTATTATAAAGAGATAGAACACACTGTTTTGACATCACATTAAATAGGGCCTTCATAGCAGGAAGTCACACTAGATGATCAGCTAAACTTCTTGGTCTTAAAAACTATAAATGAATGAGGAAGTTAGTTAAAATCAGTTAAAGAGCAGTTAAGTGTTTCAGTGAGGTGTAGTTAAAATACTCCTGCTGGGCTCCTTAGAAGACAATGAGTTTTTATTTCATTAGGGCCTGACTGTACACTGCTGGTGTGTTCACAAGTTTATCTATTGACTTAAATGTTGTCAGGAACAAACCCTTATCTTCCATACACCCTCTTAAAACAGGCCATATTACAGCAAAGCTCATACACCAGTTGCATACCCTAACATCCCATTGGCTGGAACTATATATTAATGAATTAAATCTCCATAAAACATATGATAAAGGATGAGAAGTAAACAAGCTAGAAAAAGATAATTATATATCTGCTCACAAGTAATTTTTCCAATGACGTTCTTTCTTCATTTAAAGTTGCAATAACACACAGTAAAACTAAATATTCCAAACCACTGTCTGAACTTAAGCATTAGACCAAAAAGGAGGAAAAATGGATGGGTATTAGTGAGTTTTGTCTAGGAGAACAGCTTCAGTGAATACCTAGTGACTTGGTCTTATGAGAAATAATAATCCCTAAGGCCGATCAGTGAGTTTTGTCTAGAACAGCTTCAGTGAATACCTAGTGGCATGGTCTTATGAGAAATAATAATCCCTAAGGCCTTTTACTTTGGGCTTGTTACATATGTGTAATGAGCTGTAAGGGCTTAAATACCACTAATGCTGCAGGCTTTTAAGAGAAGAACACTATCACCTGTTTTGCAATGCCTTTTTAAAAGCCTTCAAATATGCAGGTCCATTCTTTATCTTCACTTAAAAGTGAAATTGTCAGCGCCCTTGTCAAAGTGAGGGACTAACAGAAAAGTTACAGTCAATTCAGAAACAGGCTAAAGCTGTGTAAGCGTGCTCACAATACACGGCTCTGTAGAGGTGCCTCAGTCCTGGGGTTTCAATGCCTTTCCCTGCACCTTTCAAACTTTATAAAAAAAAATAAAAAATGTATCACAGTACTCTGCATGAAGGACTCAAACACGTCACGTTACGATAGTGACACTAGTGAGAAACACAGCATTGCTTTTTGTTCTTTTTGTTTGTCTGCTTCTAGATAAAGCCAGTTCTGGGCTTCCAGTGGGCTGCTCAATGTAATGAATTAAGTACCCAGTGTCATTTGTAAAGTGCACAAAAAGGTGGGAATTCACAAGTGAAAGAGCAGGATGCTGATTTAATTCAGCAAAATTTTCTTGTAGATATCTGTGGCACATGAAATACACATCAGATGTGAATTTTTAAAAGCAGCAAAACCCAAAGTTCCTTTTTTTTTTCTTCTTTTTTTTTTTTTTTTACTCTTTATACAGACTTCCGTGCCTTACTATTTCACAAACTTAGCATTGGGGTGATATTTCAGACACCATGTCCAACATGACTCTCACTTACAGTGTCCCAAAACCATTTACTGTTTGCTGAACACATACACTTCAAATTCACATCACTGTAGCTAAAAAAAATTTAGCACCCTAAATGCCAGCAGGCAAAGGTGAGGAAAAGCGGAGTCTGCGCTGCAAGTGATTTAGCATTTCTAGCGGAGGGTAAAGGCAGTCCAGCTAGGTCAAAGCTTTCACATTATTGTAGCATGTTCTGTACGTGTAACTGTGCATTGTATACTCCATAAAGTACAGATCTGGATGCCAAACTACTGTAGAAGCAGAATTCAAAGAATGGATGTAAGCACAATAGACCATTAGCAAACCTACCATTGTGTTGTGCTGAGAAGTGGGAGTCCTATGGCCACAGTTCTCTTGCGTCAGCAGAGAAACTGGCTGAAATTCCTCAGAGTGAGGCTTGTTGGGAAAACTCACATGCAAGGGAAGGTGAAAGGCTGGGAGCCCGTCACTCTCCTCTTCTCCCACTTTCTGTCTGCTTGTCACCATGGCTACCTCTCCATCTGCTTCCCCATACGGAGAGGCTGGTCGCTTGGAAGACATCCTGGAAGGAACAAAAGAGGAGAAAATAATGAAACCTCCAAATAAATCCTTAATGCCGTCATTGTGTGGTTAGGGGCCATTGTAACAGAAATGCCTTTTTTGTGCTGGCAGAGAGCAGGAAACCATCCAAATACCACTGCAAAGCATACACAATTGGGAACAATGACCAAGCAGGTAGCAACAGAACAGTGGCTTGTTTGTTGTGAGAATAATACACTAATATAGCACTCTTTTCTATTCTGGCTTCTTAAACATGAAAATTCACCTAAGACGACTGTATAATGAAATGCAATTCCTTTAAAAAAAATACCCATCTGGTTTTGCACTTGCAAGAGACTGTAAGAAGAAAGACTGTCTCCCAATACAAGCTATTGTCAACTTAGCTTTTAAGGAATAATCATCCACATGTATTTAACCATAACTGATAAGAAAATAAAAGAAAGTAAAATAAAATAAAATAACTTGCTAGCAAGCCAAAACATCTGTGTTTCTAAAGCTTTACCCATGTGAACAACAGAGTGTTATAGTCATGTCGCAAGAATCTTTCCAGGTTCACAGATCTGGGATAGTTAAGCAATTAAATATTTGGAAATTAATAATCTAAGCTTTTTGACAACACAAATTCAGGGTTGTACTGAGTGAGTGAAGATTTGCTATCAAGATATCCTATACTTCCTACTTATAGCCAGATCAGGACAAAATACATGTAATGTAATTTACATTTATATATGTATAAAAAAAAAAAAGGATACATGAGGAAGATACATGGAGCACACCTTGTAAAAATCACACCCAAGTCTTAACTTAAAATTCAGGCCCACATTCCAAATTTTTTGAGACTGTCTGGTAAACACGTGCGTATCTCCAACTTTTAGAAATACTGGAAGAATCCTTATCTCAATGGCAAATCCAATTTTCACCCAAACCAGGCACTACTGAAAATCTTACAGGACAATCTGAACCCAGAACTCTTCCAGCTTGGTCTCCAAAATAGAGAGGTCCAGTGAAGTATTAAAATGCAGATGACTTCTGGGATTAATTACAGCAACATTGTTCATGAAAATCAGGGTATGTGCATGGATGGCATAATGGGTCGCCGTGCTAAGCAGGGGCATATGTAATAAGGAATGAGAAGTAAGAAAACCTATAGGCCTAGTCAAAAGAAGAAAGGAAAGAAAGAAGAAGAAATAATTCATGGAAAATAGGAAGTTGTGAAAAAGGAAAATGAAGACTGTTGTATGTAAAAGTTTAAAAGACAGGCTGAAGTAATACTGCTCCTCCTCGAAAATCTAGTATTTAAGATTCTAATTACCCCATTTTGATTTTCCACTTCACAGTTAAAGGACCGCATTTCAAAAGCCCAGCAGCCTCTTGAACCATGTGTGGGGCTGCTGTGAGGTGGAGCATGTCCATACGATTTGGCATATTGAGCACAAAATGGTTCTTAACAGCAGTCAACTGGGTCTGAAAACAAACAGTGACTTTAAACAGCCCTTTGTTAGGACTTATTTTGTTTCTAATGATCTCATTTTGAGCTTTGCCTCCTGAGCCAAGTTAGATTATATTTTTAAAAAAGCAAAATCAAAAAAAAAAAACCCAACCAAAAAGAAAAACAAAACATCAAGACAAAAAAAATCCCTATCAGAACTTATACTCAGCTGCACATCGCCTGTTCTGAACACCACCTATTGCTTGTACATAGAGAAGCAATCTGTATTTTCTATTAATGTTTGACTTAGTCCAACAGACTAACACTTCATACATCCTACCTGAATTCTGTCTTCTAGGCTTTCCCACCTACATGTCTGCAGTGAAGCATATGTATAAAGACAGAGATCACCAGACAGTCTTACTGGCAGTTTTCTACTAGCCCACTGAATTCAGCATTTTACAGCTATGTTTGATGTGACAGATCTCAAGCTTTTCTCCTGCAGAAACCATGCAACTCCCTCCTGAAGTTAATGTGAATTATTCATATTCCGCGTTGCACCGCACCAAGATATACATTTGCTATTGATTCCGAGTGTAGCATTTTAGTTACTCATTTCAACTCTGCCTTAACAGAAGCCTGGGTTTTTACAAAATCTCTCTGAAAATCAGCATTAAGCAGTTGTTTCAATTTCGGTAAACAAAAAGCGGGCCAGAAAAAAAAAGGGGAGGGGGGGGGGGGGGAACACAAAATCATTAGTCAATTATTCCACGGCAATTTTCTATACTTTAGGACATTTATATTCCATAAAATGACTGAAAATATTGTAAAACATCTACAAAACTCTCCACAACAATTCACTTTAACAATACAACAGAGAGGACGCCTGCCTTTGTACTGATGATTTGTATCATGTACTACATACCCAAGTTGTGTTAAAAACTCCTACTGCTGTTAACCCAGAATAACCCAGATTCTGTCACATTGCTTCACGAAGGGAGTTCGACTATCATGTTGAAGCAAAGCTCTTCTGCTAACTTTATCAGTGAATCCATGGTTTCCTCTACTGTGTTAAGTTGGCGTGCTGCAGATCATCATTGCCTTCTGCTTGTCACTGTTCCCAACAGGAATGATATCATTTTCTGCGGGGAATTTATGAAAACAGGCAAAGGAAGGCAGTAGAGGTGGCCACCTCCATGCACTAGCAGTAACTCATATTTATTATGGTTTTGGTGTAAAACAAAAACCTATGGGTTGGACTGCAGGCTAACCCTACAGAGATACTAGAGAGGGAAGAAGGAACTTTTTCCTTCCTGACGCAGCTCTTATAACATCCAGTTTAAATTACAAAGCATGTGCTCATCATAATGCTAAAAGGCTAAGAAATTGCTAAAATAGCTAGGGTGGCAAAGTTAATCTGCATTAGTCTTCCAAGTGACCAGGATACTCAAAGAACTGGTTGCACAACCTTAGGTAAGGGTCATACAGCTCAGGTGATGATTGCCGTTTGTTTTCAGGTAGGTCTGTCCACAGCCAAGATGAGTTAGGCATAACCTGGCCTTTCAGAAATCTCATCATCCCCTTTAATATCAAACACAAACATCACAGTTTCACAGAAATTACTTTCTCCTTATGAACTTCTGGGAAATTTCCACAAGAAAATGCAAGATTTAAAAACAAAAATTAAAATCCATATCTACTTTTGGAAATGTCTTCTAAAAGGACAGTAGCAGCAAATGATCGAATTGCTGATAGGTACACAAGCAGAAAACGACGTCATAGAAGGTCAATTTATTCACAGATGGTCTTTCATTATTTCTACAACTTTATTGGGCCCTTTTCTGCATTTGAAATGCTCCCACACCCCTTACCCTTGAATTCTCTTCTTTTCATACATCCTTATTTTCCTACTGAGCTAATACGAGGTCTTAACAGATTCCACAGATGAGATGCAAGTAGAGTTCCCATTATAAAAAATAAGCAAAGGGAAACGGCTACATTTTGAGAAACAACATTACCTGAAACTGAGCCCTTTTAAACAGATCTAGGTCTAATGATGGACTGGAATTATCCCAGCTTAACAAAAGGCTGTGAACATCCTGGATCTCCCCTCAATAATAACACTGCAGTTTGCAACTTACATGACTTGAAGATCTTTTTCTCAAACTAGTTTAAACTCAGAAGGGTTTTCAATTGCACCCCTCTGAAAGAAGGGTTACAATGTGAGAGGAAACATCAGTTTTCTCAAACATCAGCTTATGGATAGGATTAAAAAAACCCAACAAAACCCCAAGATAGTAGTATCAGAAAAGCAGCAATACGGTGGACCAGATTCTGAATCTAGAAGCAGATTAAATCTGTGCAATTTAAGATTTGCAAGAAGAGTTGCATTTTGAACTGTCGTTAATAATTTCTACTGAATAAAAATAGCTAAATAGTAATTTTTTAGACAACTTAAATCTGCAAAGTTCAGACGCAGTGGGACGCAGGCAGCACTTAGCCCACTGTAGAGACACATCGGAGTTATGAAATAAATCCCCATACTTGATTTTTATCAGTGGTTAGCATGGAACTGAAGATTTAGTTCTGCTGATAAATTAAAATAAGGCTATTTCTTGTAAAGGCACTCTTTTTTCTGTTCTTGTAAAGGCTTCTTAATATGCAGAAATTGCTGTTAAAAAAACATGCCTTTTGTTAAATTTTCATTAAATAAATGCTTTTTCTGGTAGCAAGAATGTTTTTTCAGGGAAGTTAAATCTCACTCTTCTCACTCACTCTTATCCCACAAATATTTGATGCAATTTATCTTACAATAGCTTCTGCACATATTTCTTTACTCCCCTTCAATTTACAACAGACTCTTTGTAGGCTTAAACTGATACCCTGTGTCTATTGATCTCAGTGTTTTGGACTGACTTCAGCATGGCTGGATTTTCCCACTGGAGAGACTAAGAGCTATACTGCGTCCATATGAATTGTTTCCTTATGCCACCTACAAGTATTGGTTCCAACCAAATAATTTTAAGTTACCAAATAGCATTATTTTGTTTGATTTCTTTTTCCTTTGAGTTCAGTTCTTCACAAAAGTGATCTCTCCACAGCTTTAATTATTATTTTTAACAGAACCTCATTTAAGTGTCCCCACTACTTTTCCATTTGTTAATTGGTTTTGGTTCATTTCATACACAATTGTGCACCCAAAATAAATCTAAAATGGTATCCAGTACTCAAGGAGATAGTGCCCTCTAGCACATAACCAGCATTCATCCCAAATATGTTTGCTCATTTCACAAAATTTCATAAATTTTATGTCATAAAACTCTAATCTTGTTACATTAAGCAAAATACCTCAGAAACGTTCCAGATACCCACAAAAGCTTTTGGAGAAAAGGCTTATCCATGTCTTCAAAAGTGACAAACACAGATGTGTCAGGAGAAAAAGATATGAGGCCATAAATCTTAACTTGTTGGGAGTTAATTAAGGGATTCATCAATCATTACACGGCTCACCCCATACGTATACAGGCAAAATCCCGTCAGCTGCCACAACCCACAGCAATCTACAGGTTAA